CTATCGTTCCATTCTGAAGTATCGTTTTTATGAGTGGTACGGTACGGTCTCCGCTTGCTGCATGCATGCATGCTGGCTAGGCTGCGTGCGATTGCAATTGCATGTGTACCGTAGTACTATACTGTATACCACCATGGATGCTGAGTGCGAGTACGAGTTCGAGCAAGAGGCCGCTCTTATTAAGAGTTTTCTCTTAAAAGAGGAATTAAGCCACCTAAGCGTAAAAAAGAAGAAAGCGATAAGGCGAAATTAAGAAAATAGTTTATGGTATTTAAAATCTGTTTTTTCTATCATGTAGAGTGACCTTAAAGTTCACTCCCCCCCCAAAAAAAAAAATGAAGGGAGGATATGGGATGATGCAAAGAGCCTCGATCACCCCCCCCCCCGGCCCCACAATTCAAGTTTCGTAATCAGTACAACCGAATAAAAAAAAATGTTATAAATCTGTAAGGGATGCACAGTAATGGCAAATTTTAAATTGATAAAGAAATACAATATAATCCTTTTCGTCTATTGGATGCGGACAACTTCTAAAGGTGGCAAAATAACCTGAATTAACTCTGTAAGGATTCGAGAATAGTTTGAAAATAGGGGTAAAACAAATTTAAGTTTATTAGGTCTATATTGTTTTATTACCTTATAAATCTATTTTTAAAGAAATGATCGAAGCCGTTGATAATTTCTATTTCTTGCAATTTATCATATAAAATCAAAGGAATCTGTTTGGTTTTTTTTTTTTTTTTTTTGGGGGGGGGGGGGGGGGGGGCTTACCAATGTTTAAAACGCTGCTATGGGAATCAGGTTGTTTTATTGTAAAAGGTTTTCTTGGCTAACAAATGCAGTAATACAAACACGTCAATTTGCTCTGACCAATCATGACCCTTCCCATATCTGCCTTCATTTTAGTTATAAATGAAAAGAAAGAAAATGAAAAAGCACAGAGACTGGATCACAGGAAAAATGTTTAATGAAATGAAATAAATACGTAATTAAATTATGATTTATTTCTGTTAAAACAGCAGTTGGGGAGGAGGTCTTATGTATAGGCCTCTAGAGGCCATTAGACCCACTCGGGCATAAATAAAACAAAAATGCCAAAATGTCAATTATGCTGGTTTTAACATAAAATTAGAACGATGGACAAGAAAATGGACAAGAAGAAAGAGAGACAACAAGGCTTTGTCGCCTGTGGGCGTCAATGCAATAAAGGGGGGATGCTTTTCGGAATAGCCTACAGATTCGATGTCCAATACGAACAAATCAGACAATTTAAGTCTAGCAATCCGCCATGTTATTCACGATAGAATTATCAGACCATGTCCTGTAGCCACTAGCGTACCTATGGGGGGGGGGGGGGGAGGGGCCGGATCCCCCCCCCCCCCCCCGACGAAAAAGAAAGAGAAAGAAAAGAAGAAAAGAGAAAAGGGAAAAGAAAGGAAGGAAAAAGAAAAAGAAAGAAAAGAAAGAGAAAAGGGAAACGAAAGGAAAGAAAAAGAAAAGAAAGAAAAGAAGAAAAAAGGGAAAGAAAGGAAAGAAAAAGAGAAAGAAAAAAGGAGAGAGAGAGAGAGAGAAAAAAAAAATGAAAGAAGTAGGGAAGGAAAGAGGAAAAGAGAGACGCATTTGCCGACAGAAATTTTGAAGGGCTTCATAAGCCCAGTTCCTGTCACTGTTGAGGGAAAAATCAGTTTGTAATGCCTCGCGCTCGCATGATTATTTTTTATCACTGATATGTGGATTCAGATACAAAAAGGGGGCTAATTACTTTTTTGTATTTGTTTTCAGGTCGATCACGATGTAGAAACAAATTAGTTGCATGTTTCAATATTATAGGGGGTAATGATTACTTCAAAAGGTTTTTTAATTTGATAAGAGCCTAATTAAACCATGGAATAATTAACATTTAGGATAGGGAAGGAGGGTGGTAGATGCTATGCATTTGTTAATCGGCAAATTTGGATGACGTCGCACCCTTAAAAGTTGGCAGCAAATTTGGGTGTCACACCCCTAACCCTACCCCCCCCCCCCCCTCCCAATAAACAATCTTTTTCGAATTATGAAGACTTTTCAAATCAACAAAACATAAGTAAGGTACGGGTATGCATGAAATCGCGCGATCGCAAACATCAAAATACCGTGGGAGGGGGAAAACCCTCCCCCCCAAAAAAAACACCCCCCCCCCCCCCCCCCCCCCCCCAACCCCCCCCCCCCCCCCCCCCCCCCCCCCCTGACGCGGTATGCCAGGTTCGCCACTGCCTGTAGCTATATAGGAACAAATCCGCCAATGCACATTATCCGCCGTGTTCACTAACGGCAGATTTGGTTGTAGCGGGCACGATATCCGCTGCTGATCACGATATCTGCTAGGCAGATTTTGTTCCGAGAACACGATCCGCCAAGGTAACAAGATCTGCCGTCACACCCGGCATCACGACCGCTACGGCCGCGAGCCCGTTCGCTGAAGTGAACTTCTTTTTCAAAAACTTAGGCGGCAGGTTACACTTTAGCGGAGTTTTCACTTTAGCAGCTTAACACACGTTCCCCCTTATCCCAAACAGGTCGCATCATTTTGATTGTAATTTCGTTTCATTATTTGAAATCTGACGATTATTGGTTGTTGAAACTCATGTGCATCTTTTATTAACACTAAACCATTGTTTCACTGTCCGAACAGTTTACATCTGTAATAATAATATTTTAGAGTCAAAAAGTTTTTTCACTCGTATACACATAGTTAATGCCTTTTTTGTCTCCAATGAGACGATACCATATAATATAATTGTACCATAATGGGCCTCATGGTAGTGTGCTCTCATGGGGTAAAAATACTTTACACATTTTGGGGGCTACTTTTCAAGCTTGCTTGAAAATATTACTCTTTAATGCGTTTTGCATTGAACTCTATGCACATTTTGGGGGCTCTTTTAAGACTTTCGGGGGCTCTTTTTGGCATTTCGGGGGCTAATTCGCCCCGAGCCCCCGTGTATTTTCTTCACTGAGTCTCATGGGCAATTTGACACCATTCGGGTATTACCCAATAACAGGTGTGGTCAATCACCAGGAATATAGCCTTCATTTTTGTTTGTGTGACGAACGGACCTTATGTAATGCTTTCCCTTTTCCACCCGTTCCCACTGCACTACTTGTAGCTACTTGCGCCCTCTATATAACAAACAATGCCTAATCGGTGACCATTGGTCCCCCATGATCCTCTTTTTCTTATGTTAACTGAGAGCTGAGTTGATGAGATAACCACCTGTCCAGTGACCTTGCAGGGCGCTCTAATCCCTCCTGTAAGATAAGCTTTAATGGGTGTACCTTTTCATCTATTTTTGTGTCAGCGAATTATGACCTTCTGCAAAGGGAAACTGACGACAACCTCCCATTAAAATTGAAGGTGGTACTGAGTGCCGTGGGACACGTAATTGTAATTATAATTATAGTAACAATCCTGTCAACTAATACTGCTTTTGTTTATTATTAACTCATTTGCATCGATTAACTATAGTTTATCGTGCTGCACGACTTGTTATAACAACATGGGCCGGATAACATTATACTAGCATAATCATGGGTGTAACGGTTGAACGAGAAGGTGACATTGGTTTTGAGGACATTCACAGGGCTCAAAAAAAAAAAAAGTTCACTCGTACTCTGGCCGAATTTTCATGACGAAAGCATCGAGAAAAAAAGCAAAATCATAGCCAAACAAAGACAAGTTCCGTGGAAATGAATATTAAAGGCTTTATATGAAAAGCCAATTAAATCAGAGGCCTTATGACCATGGGAAGTTTGGCAAGTTGTTCACATGAGCTATACTCGATAGTTTTGGTTTGAAGGCCGGTTGATATGTTTCTGATAGATTGTGTGGGCTGGTCATATCAAAATTCCCTGATCGAATTTCAGTCCTAGTCCAAACACGTTCTGACATAGTAATTTGTGTATATTCCCACGTGTACGTTGTATAACAGGTGTTGAGGGCATTAAGTTAGAAAAGAAATAAAATACATAATGTAAAATCATTTTTAAATTATATTTTCTCCATTCTGTATAGACAATATTAATTAAAATGAGTAAGTGAGAATGAATGTGAATTTAAAGGTACCATAATATTATTAATAAATCGTTTTCCTTGTCAAAATTTGTGTCAATTATCTACAGTTTGTAGATGGATATATACCAACTATTGTTCTTTGTAATAAAAAAGTAATTTTGATTGTCTTCATTATACTCTTCATGATGGTAACAATATATTTATTGTATCGTCAAAAATTGTTCTCATATAAATTATTTTCCAATCCGTATTCGTAATGAGAGATTTACTTTTAAATGCTCTCCCACGTCCCACCGTCACGCCATTGCCTTGTTATCTCTCATTTCACCCACCAAATGTTTCCGCCCCCCCCCCCCCCGATGTCCCCTATATTGCTACACCCACGATACGCCACTATGCTATACCTTGACTGACATGCATGTTTTTGTGAATGGATTCTAAGTTGATTGGCAGAAAGTTTTTTTTTTTTTTTTTGGGGGGGGAGCATGTCATGATTTCTTGTTCTACTTGATCTTTTCCTTTTTAATTTGTAAGCGTGCTTGGTTTAAAATTCATTTCAATGAATGCCATTCATTGCATTCATTCATGGCTCGCAGTTACAACAAAAAAATAGTTAGAAAAGAAGAAAAACTGACGAATAACCTCCGATATTGCTTAAGATATTTAAGCAAATGGAACGACCAAAAAAAGCATGTCGATTACAATCATTATAATAAGCATCGATCAGCCTTTTTGGTTTGGGTTCTAAGACCCGTTCAAAGTCTAAACTTCATAATTTGACGGCGTTGTGGATGCCATTTTTCTTTTAGGCCTATATATTAATATTCACATGTGCATTTTCTTTTAATAAATAATTTTAATGCAGATACTCGCTAACAAGGCTGATTAATGATGACAAGTATTATGTTACTAAATTATTTTTATTTTTCAACCCGAATTGTTCTTGCAGAGTTGTTTTCCCGTGATTAATGACTAACTGTGACGTCACAATGGAGGTTCGTCACCGGTTGACTAGGGGAGTCAAGCGATGGTTCATCCTGACTGGTGTGTTCTTCGTCTCTTTCCTCGAGACTGGTACTGTCAGGTCATTCGGGGTCATCTTGAATGATATGACGTCAGACTTTGGTACCTCAACGGCTTACATTGGGACCATCATCGGGATGGCCCACGGAGCTACGTACTGGTTATGTAAGCAATATCTCTCTTCTATCTCCCACTCCGCATCTCTTTTTTGTTTAACCATCTCTCAGACATTCTCTAATTCTTCTCCTTCTCCTTTTTTCTGTATCTCTCAATCCATCTTTTTCTCTTCCTTCCACCCTTTCTCTCAATGATATATCTCCGTATCTATTCCAACTTTCTATCTCTCTCTCTCTCTCTCTCTCTGTCTCTCTCTCAATGATATCTCAATGATATCCCCAAATCCTTCGCTCTCGTCACCAGTTATCCACTTTCAGAACTCAACTAAAGTCATACCTATATCAGATTGCTTACAATTAGTCACTGCTTTATAGTCTTTTCCAGTTAGAATCATGAACAGACATTTTGGTAGTTTTTCAGTCTCATCATATCAGCGCCTCCGATACATTAGGCAACTAGATATAGGCGCTTTATAACTTCCTGCATTGGATTGGATTGGATCTCTCCGTATCTATTCCACCTTTATCTCTTCCTTTCTATATTATCTGCCCCTTTACAGGAATATTTACCAATATGCATGATCGATACCTTTGAGGTCATTTTCTGCAAGATGCTAAAAAAAAGAGAAGAAAGTGTCATCAGTGTTGTTTCATAGTCACTCTAATTAACTTCGAACGATTCCTTTAAAAAATATATGTAGGGCGTATAGTCGGTTACGTTTAGCCCATTTGTCATTTCCATTCATCGGACAAATATGAAATAGGACTCCATGACTTTGCATTAGTATTTGACTTAACTATTTGGTTTATAGAAACAGATGGTAACTGCATCAGTCGGGTTCACCGAAAATAGGCGGAAATCGATGTCTCTGTAATATCTCCCGACTTGTGAATCAATGATTCCCACATGCTGTAGCGGAGAGAGATGAAAAACACTTTTAGAAAACTGCTCTTGTAGCAAGTTAAACGTTGCGTTGGGCGTTTTTCGTTGAATTTATAGAGGGGTGGTAAACTCTGAGTCCGGCGCTAAGAAGTTCTCGGAATGCATTCTCGTTCGGAACGACGCACATCCAACTCCGTTTCGTTTTAGTCCAAGAATGACATTTCGTACGACGTTTGTACAAATTCAAATTTTAATAATTATAATCCAAACAAATAGGATCATTCAGAATTTTTATCAAAAAGGGTATAAATTTCAAAATATTTGTGCTGCATAGATAATTGATCGCAAAAGTCAAAATAACAATAACCAGGAATGGTAAAAATTAACGCAGCCTACTGTACTTTTGTCTCTTCTGGAATATAATTCATGGAAGGATTGAAAATAAATTAAATTACTCGTAATACTTTTTACATCTTGTTTTTTCTTGAGTACAGTTTGTTTTTCTTTCTTATCTTTTCTTTTCTTTACAACAAGAAAAGGAAAACAAAATACAATAATTTAACAGAATAGATCAAGAAACACTCCGATCTTATTCGAAACGTGTTCTAGCGGAGTCTTCTGCGACTTTCTCGGTGCTCTGATCTGCTCAACCGAGAATCGCTTATGAGTTTTATCTCTTTTTTCTCAAAGATACGTTAGGGTTATAATTATGGTTGCAATAAGGTTTTAGGTAAGATTTAGGGCCGAGTCGGGGGCAGAGTCAGGGCCAGGGCCAGGGTTTGGGTTAGATAGTGTTTGGCTCAGCGTCACACTATGGTTGAAGTTAAGAATTTTGTTCATTTACAAAAAAGACCGGGACGGAAAGCAATTGTCGCAAGTGTGGTAAACCCTTTTCCTCACCTAACTTGGAGGGGTTGGGTGACCTAGCTTTAGTTACGGTAAAGGGTGAATAAATTTATTGCACACTCTAAAATGAAACAACAATAAGGCTATCTATATATAGCGCGTAACAATCTATTATATTTCTTGGGCTTTTTTGCGGCAGACACCCATGACTCTGCATTTAATTTATTGACTATAGCTTAGAAGGACTGCATCGCTGTCATGCACTGCTTATATGATCAAAATACATCAATAAAACCTGGGTAAATATGTACTTAATTGCACAGGCTGTAATCTTATGTGGACGCATGAAGATCCGACCGAGTTCAATATTTATTTATAATTTGACGAGTTTCTTCTATCCATTAATTATTACCAAGGAAATAAGCTGTCATTACTGTACACCCAATATCATAAGTACCGCAATGTATTGGATAATGAAAGAAATGTATATCAATACGCCATTTTTGTACCTATTTGACGTCCTATATATACATTATCGAAATTATATTTATTTATCTATTATAATATATGTGTTCATGGTTTTATTTGTTATTTAATTCTTTATTTTTCACGTATTAATTTGTTTGTTCAATGTTTATTTATTCAATTTTGGAAGCTATAATCGGCTGCGAGTGATGAAGTGACGTCATCCTAGCCAATTATGATCGAGATGTAATTGTCCGATGAAATGGCTCTAAAATTGCAGCCGGGGAGGGGGATGGGGGCACACATGGAAATATGATGCATTGAAGGTATGTCCGATTTGGTTTGCGCCCCTCCCCCTTCTCGATGCCAGTGGATGGCGCAGGTCACGTTTGATGAGAAACACGGAGAAATAGACTTTGGGCTGACCCTTGAAAATCACTTGTTTCGTGACCTCCCATTTCGCACCACATTTTCTCAACTGTGAAATAAATTTTTCCTAAAAATAAACGGCAATTGGAGCACAAGGAAATCAAGGGGAAAATGGTTAAATCCGGGTAACGGTTAAAATAACAATCATTCCTTGCTAATTGTATCACTATTGATGATTAATCGCGATACTCCTGACGATAGCAAAACAAGCGTTATTATGAATGAAATTCAGTATGAACCGGAAGGAAATCGTTTTGGTGTTTACTTTTGCAAAATCATGACGTAGTGTGACCGACACAATTAGATCGGACGTGGTGTCCGCTTACTAACAGGTGTCATTTACATTTACTATACGTTTGGTTTAGAAAAGCCATTTACGTCACAGAGGGCATTGGGGGGGGGGGGGAGGGGGGAGGGGTCTCCCTCCCTCCTTTACCAATTGGCGAAAAGAGGAAAAAGTCTCGAGAAAGACTGAGACAGGATTCAAACTAAGTAGAGTAATAAAATAAAATATGGAGACAAGTTTCAAGTTTTTCAAGTTTATTTATTTCACTTTATCAAAGATAACATAACTGAACATAATGAACAATGGCAATTATTATAACTAAACATACAATATAGAAAACATAATGTACATGATAATAGTTATAACAGAGAATACAATCATATAAATCAATCAATAAAGTGGGGGATCTATACTAAAAAGCAAAGCGTGTATTATCTAGGTCCCGGTTCATAGGTTTATATATAAATTATTTAAATCTCAATTAAAATATTTACAAAAGCATATGATTACACGAGGGTTATCTTTAAGTGACACATTTTACTAAACATATCCCACCTCCTACATGAAACGTAGCAGTACATATATACCATCAGTACAGTGCCCCCTAATGGCTGACTTGCCCGTTATACATGTCTAGAAAGGGGTCTTAACATATGTGTTGTTTTTTTCCCATTCCTTTTTAATTTTGTCCTTCTTGATTATTTTCTGTTCTCTCTCTCTCTCTCTCTCTCACTCTCTCTCTCCCTCCCCTCTCTCTCTTTCTCTCTCCCTCCCCCTCTTTCTCTTTCTCTCCTGTCGTTGTTGTTGTATCTATTTGATGTGATATTCTGTGATGCCATCATACATGTACGTATCCCTTGACCACGACCACGCCTAGCTCTCAACCAAATATTCATAATCTTAATCTCTGATATTTTGTAAGATCTTTCACCCCTTTTTCACCCCTCCTCCCTTCTGCAGCGGTCCTGAACACACCCCTCCTCAGACGTTTCTCCGTTCGTCAGGTGGTGATGGCTGGTGTCTGGTGGGATCCCTAGGTCTCATCCTATCAGCCTTTGCGATGACCGACCTTACTTTGCCGCAGCTCTCTTCATGTTCGGTAGCAATCTTTCCTTTTTTCTTTTCCTTTTTTTTTTAGCAGGGCCCTGTTGCAGTGGCGGATCCAGGGGGGGGGGGCCCGGGGGGCCCGGGCCCCCCCCCTTGAGAAAAAAATCATGTAAAATCACGTGATTTTTACGATTTTTGGGGGTTGGGCCCCCCCCCTGGCGCTCAAGGGGGGGGTGCAAATTGAAATTTTTTTGAGGATAAAAAAAAAAAAATGTGCTCACTACCCCCCCCCCCCCCCCCCCCCCCCCCCCCCCCCCCCCCCCCCCACTGAGCGAATTTTTGACCGGCGCGTTTTTCAAATTTTCGGGAGCAAAAAAAAAAAAAAAAAAAAAAAAAAAAATGGGCTCTGTACCCCCCCCCCCCCCCCCCCCCCCCCCCCCCCCCCCAATGAGCGACTTTTCGGCCGGCGCGATTTTCAAATTTTCGGGAGCAAAAAAAAAAAAAAGTTGGGCCCCCTCCCCTAAGAAATCCTGGATCCGCGCCTGCCCTGTTGCATAAAAAATTACCATTGATGGTAACTTTGCCATCAATAGCAACTACCATGGTAACAGGGCTGAACAGTCTATCAAAATCAAGGTTTCCATGGTAGTAACCATTGATGACAAAGTTACCATCAATGGTAAGTTTTTATGTTTCAGTGTTGCATACTAAGTTAGGGTATGCTGGTTGGGTTTCAGTGGTGATAGAGGGAAACTAGTATAGGGTGGATTCAGCTATACATGTAAATGTGACACTGCATACTAGTAATATACCATATGGAGAGGTAAGGCATATTTGAATTGGTGGTTACAGTTTGGTTAACCACATTAAGGCCATAGGAAATGATATGCCACCTGTGAAAGAAAGCAATTATTGGAAATATTTTTACCAATTTTTTTAGAGTGTCGAATAGGAGACGTATGATCATTCAAACGATGTTTTTGTTTTGCTTTTTCATATGTCGATGTCAAATGATAACTCACCTGCACACCAAACAGTTTTGGATAGAGAAGGAACTTAAGGCTTTTATGATAAGATATTTTGTCTGTGTCCCTGCATGTTTGAGTGATATGTTGATGTAAACCTAATGTATTTTTGTCTGTTACCTTCTCTAGGAATTGGTTTCAGCACGGTTGTCTTACCGGCCAACTCAAGTCCTGTGGACTACTTCCCAGACCTGTTTGAGATTGCATCTAGTATCAATCTGACCGGAGGCGGCATCGGTCTCATGATTCTACCGCTTCTCTTCGAGGTCTTCGTCAAGAACTATGGTTGGAGGGGTGCCCTGATGCTTCTAGGTGCTATCAATCTGAATACTCTGGTGAGTGGCGCCCTCTTGGAGCCGGTGCCGAAGGTGAAGGAATCGGCAACGGGAGAAGTGCCTCTGGATGATACGGCGGAGCTGACGCAGAGAGAGATTGAAGGGGAGCACAGCGGACAGTGTTCATCAGGACAAGATGGAGCAAACGGAAGTGTAGAAGATGAAATTGACACGACTGGTGTCGATGTTGATTCACTAGCTGAAACAGAGGACTTGATACCTCATCAAAGACATACTGGTAACGGTCATCTTAGACACTCTGAAAACACCAACACTAACTGCAAGTCGGACAGCAAAGTTCTTATACACCACATTAGTAACTCGGAGGATGCAACCCCAAATGGCTTTCCAACCTACACCCCTGAAGTGGAAAACTGTGACAGCAAACACCACCATGAACTTGTAGCGTCATACAACACCACCTCCAACAGTGTAACTGTCAAAGAGGCCATTGCCTCTGAGGATTGTCCCGAAGACATCCCGAATCGGACATGTTTCGGGAGGTGGTGCCATAGTGTTGCAGAGCTCTTCGACCTTTACCTATTTAAAGATTACCCTGTGTTCTTCGGCATCTGCCTTGCGACCATTCTCTTTGGCGTCTCCTACGATGGCTGGGTACTCTTTGTTATCCCCAACGCAGAAGCTAAGGGCTTCGACTCACAGATGTCTGTGTACGTCGCAACAGCCGGAGGCGTCGGAAATATATTCGGACGCTTCTGTATAGGATTCTTCACAGCCAAGAAGTTAATTCCCAACGAGGTGTCCTATCTCATAATGAACCTAGTGTCCTCAGTGGCTTTCTTCATCAACTATGGCGCCACCACATTCTGGTTCCTGTCGATCCTGTCTTTCTTCAATGGGTTCTCTCTAGGAGCAAAGACGTCACTGCAGTTCATCATTGTCAATGACACGGTGGCTACCAAGCGGTACAAGGCAGCCGTCTCTATGCTACTTGTGTCTCTTGGTATTGGGTTCCCCATCAGTGGTGCCCTCTTAGGTGAGTTCCAAAAAAAGGGATACGTAGGACTTTGGTATTCTGTCACTTGAATACAGCTCCATATCCAAATTGCGGTGTCGGTAGACTGTAATTTTAATAGCCCTATCAAAAGTTCTTCATTTTTCTTTCAAACAAGCAAATAGAAGAAAAAGAAAAGCCATTCATACTTAAAATCTGCCGACAGTAATGTTTTTAATTGGGGTGCCAGCTCCCCCATCATTAGCGACACTTTTAGATTGCAAATAGTTACTCTAAAGTCATGTACATGAATTGATTGGGATATACATGTATATTGGAATTTAAAATGTCTCTGTGATGAATAAATTCATTCATTTTAAACCCGTTCTATTTCTTACAGATTCAAAGCGTTACCCCCAAAGTTTCTAATATTATCAAAGCAATATTCGTCATTTCATTCAAAAAACAAATAGCTGCAGGTTGTAAAATAATGTATATTCTCAAAAGGAGTACCTGTCATGACAAACCAGGAGGTCGTTTCACACAGCCTTTTATCAATGACAAATGACAAAAATCAGTGACAAATCTGCTGATAACCAATCAGAAGCAAGGATTTCAGTAGCATATAACAAAAGCTGTCATTTGTCACTGATAACAAGTTTTGTGAAACGCCTCCCAGATATGCTGGAAAGTGAATGGTATTGATTGATGCCATTTCTCTTGTTTCTCATTTTTGTTTTTCAGGTGGAATTTACGACAGGACAAAATCATACAACATCTCTTTCTGCGTGATAGGGTTTATAGATGTGGTGTGTGGGATCCTGATCACAGCGCCTCTCGTAGCAGCAGCCTTAAGGAGACGTAAAGGGAGAGCGTCCCTATCAACGGACGAAGTGCCTGTATAACGCTTGAAGACATCACTCAAAGACCACGCTTGAAGACATCATGCCATGCATCCTTGAAGCGCTCACTGTTGCCATGATAGGGGTCGTGTGTGGGATCCTCATAACAGCCCCTCTCATTACAGCAGCTTTAAGGAGACGTAAAGGGAGAGCGTCCTTATCAACAGATGAAGTGACTGTATAGCGCTCAAAGACATCGTGCCATGCATCCTGGAAGGGCTTACTGGTGCCATGATAGGGTTTATAGATGTTGTGTATGGGATCCTCATCACTGCGCCTCTCATAGCAGCAGCTTTTAAGGAGACGTTAGGAAAGAGAGTCCTTATCAACGGACGAAGTGCCTGTATAGCGCTTGAAGACATCGTGCCATGCATCCTTGAAGTGCTCAGTGTTGCCACATTCATGTAAATTTCACATGAATTTTGTATGCTATCTATTTGATGATCTTAGAATTGAAAGGAGGAAGAGCTACGACACGGACGTTTGATTTGGACAAGCACAATGATGCTCAAAATCGTTCGAAGTGTTGCATAAGAGTGAAAAAGGGCATGTCATAGATCGTTGTAATTGTTTCATGAGACGCCAGAGTAGATGATCTGTTTGAGGAGCCCCCTCACTGTCTTCTTGTTCTTTGATACCTGATATGATCAACAGAGGAGAATGCTGACGATATGTTTGATGAAAACTTACAGTTCCCAAAGAGAATTAAATATTTTTAGAGAGAGCTTTCGCAAGTTTAGGATACTGATGTTATGTTGAGTGAAACCATACTCTTCCCAAAGAGAATTAAATATTTTTAGAGACATTCTATGTTTTATATTTTTATCCTGTGTTCAGGACACTGATGATATGTTTAATGAAACCTAAGACTTCCTAAGGGAAATTTACTTTATTATTTTAAAGAACTTGTAATGGTTTCTCTTTGTTGGAGGCTTTGCGAATGAAATGAACTTGAGAGGATTACTGGTCGTGAAGGAAGCTGTTCACTTTGCCAGGGATGTGATATTCCCAGAATACACAAGGTTTACTGGATTGGTCGCAATACAAGATGGAGGATCATTCTATAAGGAACCATACGTGACTGTTAAACTTTCATCGCTGTAAATAGAGGTGTCGTATGGTCTAGTGGATACGTCACTGGACTGTGGTTCACATGGTCCACAGTTTGAGTCCCGTAACGGCACTAACGTCCTTTGGCAAGACATTAATCTACATTTGCCACACTTTACCCAAGTGCGGTAAGTGGGTACCTGGCAAGAATTATTTTCTTGAATTGCTAGGTGCCATAGTGGCAGAGCGTCAAGTCTGATATTATAAGAACCTCCTATTATTATTATTATTATTATTGAAAGTATCACATGTTTTTCTCATGCGATAATAAGTACATGCCTTGTTAAACGTCTTGATATGAAGTTTTCAGTTTGTAGCTAAAGAGTTGCGGGGTACACCCTCTTCATGAATGTTTTTTTTTTATTTGAGATTTTGTTGGCACACAGACCACCATGTATAGAGAGATACATGTTGTTGTTTTTACCAGGTGGAGGGATGGGTAGGTACAATTTGTTGAATCATTCACTTTGATATAGAGTGAATTGGTATGACAACAATGCTGCTCACCAAAACAAAAAGAAAATGTATTGAAATAAGATTCAAATGAAAAATTTAAGATGAAATGATGTGTAGTTGATCATCTGTCACAGTAGCTATAACTGGACTGAGGATAACCAGCGACAAGAGGTTTAAGATTAAAGCGTGAATATTTCATAGAAGGTCACAATTCTGGGTCATAAAGATAAATAGATCTGTATGTTCTTAATGAAGACATTTAATGTATTTTCTTCTCTTTCCCCTTCTTGTGATGCATTCACAGGTCTTCCTCTCATTTACAAACTTGTTTTCCCTGTTGCAATATCACCTTCCCATTCTAGCTTCCATCATTGTCACCCTTTCTCGTTCATTCCGACTTTCTCGTTCTACCTCTTCCTCCGTTGATGTTCCTTATACTGCAGTCACAATGAAGAGACCAACACCACACTGGCACTCTGGCACACAATGAAAGATACAAACCTTAGCCCTATTGGCCAAGGGTCTGTTTGTTGGTTCAGTATCAGTTTGGAGTCGGTTTCAACACCAGACTGAATGAAACAATACCTTACCACTATTTTCTAAGGGTTAGTTGGTTTCGCTTGATGATCTCATCTTCCTTTTAAATCAGCTATTACCACAGAAAAATGATATTCATGTATTGTTTCTTTGTAGACTGCAAAGGAATGCTTCACGTAGTCAACCGTTTGATGTTTAGTTTAATTTATTGTTTCACATCATACACACAGTATACATTTACATGTAAGTGGCGTTTTAAACCTAATTATATTAAATCAGGAAAGATACAGTTTCATACAATATTCTTGTCACGTAAATAGGTCCATTGAAAAGACGAGTGTTTATTCAGAAGTACGAGAGGAAATTTCAAAAGCTTAACTTTGTTGTTATTACAGTACCATAATCTACTCGTTTGCTTTTGCAGAAAGAAAATGCTATTTAAGGTTGATTCACTGACACGACATCAAACAAGAAGGAAAATAAAACACATACAAAATAAACCAAACTAGCAATAAATATGAATAATACAGTGGAAACTCCTTATAACGAGGTGCTTAAGACCATGCAAATAACCTTGTTATATCCAGAATCTTGTTATAAGAGATACCTCGCTATAACAGAGCTCATTATAATGAGTGTCCACTGTAACTCAAAATTGAATGAAATTGTAATAAATTAGTGTGCTCTATTCTATATTATTATGTACAAGCTTGACTGCACTCTGTCCAACCCACTTCAAGGAGAATAATACAGTCAAACCTGACTAGAAAAAACGCTGTAGGGACACAAAAAGGTGGCCTGTAGAAGCAGATGGTCTTTATATACAGGTTCTCAATGACATGTTTCAATAAGAACTGTGCATGTTTTTGTATACACAGGTGGGCACTATACACAGCAGGTTCAACTGTATTTCACATGTCACTGCAGTTGGAAATAAGAAGGCATAAATATCGATGCTGTCATATATAAGTGTCTTGCACTGCATGTTCTGTGTAACATTTCAACAACAAAAATCCATTTTGTTGTCATGCGAGAAGAATTTGTTGCAATAGTTATAATTTACTCGTCCTGACAATCCTTCGTTTTCTTCTTCTAAAGACAAGATTTTGTAGAGAAAAGGCAATAATTTCATAAATCTGTAAGACTGCTTCGTTTTCTAAAGCAAGGTATTGTTTTACCTATGTTTACACTCTTTAGGTACAACCACTGCAATTCTGTGAGCACAAGATTATTCATTTACTGTCAAAAGTTTTAATGCAAAGTTCTAAGCATATTTCAAATTAATTGAGTCTACTTCCATAGTTCCATTTATCTGAATAAATATACATTAATAATAATATCATAGTCGCACCGCCAAACAGACTCCAAACAGATCTATAATTGATCCTACATTCAGTCTAATGTAATGTGATGTTTTGGTCTGTTGTTGGGCTGGTATCATTCTTGTGACCATGGTATTGGAACAGATATAACAACTCACTTCTACTTTTCAAAACTTAACAATGTTTGCTATTGCCATACTACTACAACACCGTACTAGAGATAATCTGATATCTGAACATTCAGTTTGTATGCATTGTATAGAAGCTGCGATGTGCTAAATATAACCTCAAACTGTAACACAATACACCACATCTGCAAATGCACTATCAAATGGTACTATGTGTGACCTACAATGACCCAAAATTTTGATTAAAATTGCCAAGGACTCTCAGGCAAAATCAAAGCTTTCAAATGATCTTTCTATCTGGAAATTACATGTTTTGCCATGTAGAAACTGACTAGTAAAGAAAATGAAATGTAAAGCACTCTCTAAATATATGCAAAATAGTATTTACACAATAGTTATGTGGAGCCAGTCAGGCCTCAAAAAGAGAATGTTGTATTGCCCTTTAGGTGCCAGAACCTGGGTCGTTTGGTCGGAAATCGTTTTGCTTCCCCCCCCCCCCCCCCCTCAAAACAGCGACCGTCGCCCCCAAAAGGGCAATACAGCATCTTTTTTAAACGTCCAATCATAATTTTAAAAAGAGGATATATTTATATTATCAAACTGCAGAGCTTTGGGGAAAATTAGAGGATGGTCATTTTAGTAACGTCTAAAAATACAGAGAGGCATATTTGATCAGAGCCGCTATAATGATGAATAATAATGAATCACATACATGTATAAACTAATAGAATAGCACTCATAAAAACAAATCTGCAAATACAATATGTACATCGTATACACATCAAATCATAATGACGAAAAGAAAAATAACTCGGCAAAATAACCTTCCACAGTTGAGAAGTATTTGGGATCAAGTCTTATGCATGTCCTCTTTATACTTGCTAATAACGTGTATGTTGATATTCATGTGTATCCTTTATACACAACGTCATAAACTATTTATATACACATTTTGTTGTCTGTTCCAAACGCTTGATGAGCATGATAACTTACTTTATCAATTTCTTTTGGTATGATTCGCATCAAACTTCGGTCATGTTTTTTTCCCCTTCTACTTTCTTTATGCTGTTGTTTACATTAATAACTGCAAAACCACAAGCGTAACATGAAGCGTGTGTACATTCTATGATCATTTGAATCTGGTGCTGTACTGACCATATTATCTGAAATTGTTTCAGCACCAAAATAGACAATTCGTGCTTTCTATCCACCGTTTGTTTTTTGAAGATTTATTTATATTTAACACTGCACAGAATTACGTCATCTTCTCATCCCCACTTGAAAGATATTACAATATTGTTGAAATGCATCACGCACTGCAGTCAAATTGTTTGTCATTAATAATTGTTTCACTTTCAACTTCAAATCAACTCTAGAGTACTAATACTTGTATACTAATTTCCTCATAATTGTAAACTTTTGTTAGGTTCATGAGAATATTATTAGTACAAGATGTTGTTTATAGTGTTGGTATCGTATAGATGCTTTTTGTGTAAACAATTTTCATGAAAGGAATTGAAACCTTTGTCAACGATTACAGTATTAAACATTATATTTATATATATGAAGTAATTCTGGGTATATATTCTAGCTTTAAAATGATTTTAATATTTTGTGTGTGCTTAAAATCATGTTTAATCCATCAATGAAATGGAACAAGGAAAAAGAGGAATAAATACAGTTTAATACTCAATCATTTAATTTTGTTTATTTCTTTGTCCTTTGTTCACATCTTTGTGTATGTCTATTTGTTTTGTCTACTTAATGAAAATTCACTGATCACTTTTGTTTATGTGTGAAAAGAATTTGGTAAAAAAAAAAAAAATCTTCATCATTGTAAATACCGTACTAGCTGTCCCCAATTGTAAATTAAAAGCCTAAAAAGTGTTAACTCTTATATTTCATCAGAGTTAGCACTACTTTGGCTCAAAACAGAAGAAATAATGTACATAATTATTAATGATTAGATTGTTTGAGAATGATGAAAAATGTTCTCAACTGAGCATATTTTGGTTTTCCTGTGACAAATGAAATCCTTTCAACTCCTTTCAATCATCCTATTTGTGATGCCCTAATACTTGTAAAGCAGGTGTGCATCACATCCTGCAAGTCGCCATAACAAATATTTGTCTAGTCTCACTTATAATTAATTTGAAAACATAATTGGCATGCAGACCATAGTAGGATGCGACTGTGCACGTAGACACTCTCAGATGACATAGTCCTCCAAGAACAATCTAGAATAATTGATATCCTTTGCTGTACATGTATGTTACATAGATGCTAGATGACTTCCTAGTATTGTTTCCTGTTATAATGCACACATCAAGTCTATGATACACCGTTATTATATCTAATTTCACCCCTTAGTAAATCAGGAACTCAAATATTAAATCTCTAAAAGCAAAATATACAAACATATACATTGTAATTTACAATCATGCTGTAGCCAAACGCTCAATGTCCAACGGCTCATTCAAATATGAAGCAGTACACACCATGCCGCTGTGTTATAAGATACAGAAACGTGAATCGTATTATGGGAGTGTCGTGGGAGCGTCGTGGCCGAGTGATTTAAGGCGCTTGCCTGGAGATGCGAAGGTCGAGGATTCGAATCCCAACACGGCACTAATATCCTTCAGCAAGATATTAACCTGCACTTGCTACTCTCCACCCAGATGTTAAATGGTCAATTAACGCCTGGCTGGAATGCTCCCCAGAGAGTGGAGATTGTGCACACAGTGTGTGCGGGCAAGCATCAAATCCAATGATCAGGGTAATAGTATATCTGTAAAAGCGCTTAGAGACATTGTATTAAAGGTAATACAAAGTTTTGGGAAATTTTGAAAATTGGGTGGACAATGATTCTTTACAATTTTTATATATTTGGATGCCCCTGTGGGTGTATTATAAGCACTAGAAAATTTAGCCCCTGAAACACTTTTGTTTTCGAGTAAAATTGAATATAAAAATTTACCGGTGCTCCCGGTAAATTTTGATAAATTTCAAATGGCGCCTACGGCCGTACGATGGTAGCTGCGACCATGAAATTCTCAGAATATGTAGTTGTCATATATAATTTCCAAACGGGAATAGCTAATCGGTCGATTTCGGTCAAGAAACATTGTTTTATAGCTTAATTAATATCTTGACCTTGAGAGGGAGCTATACAACATAAAGAGTTTATTATCTACAATTTCATAACTTTAGACTCGATTTCAACCGCGACAACGATCAATGAGTATTGTAGGATCGCATATGTTTCCAATATGTTCATTTGAACCGAATACATGACCCCATACCAAAACTTTGTATTACCTTTAAGCGCTATATAAGCGGAAAATTATTACAATCATGACACAGACGTCATAATGGATAAAAATGCGCTGGATTACCGAAACCTATCTGAACAGGGCTTATCAGTTGAGTGATATCATGTTAGAATCTACGTAATTCGATCAGTTAAATGAAGTACTCACTGAGCATGCATTAATCTTTGAATTAATAAATACAGGCCCTGGTATCTCGCTCATGGGTATGAAACAATCTACTACGGGTTCAAACTACATTCCTAGCTTTAATGTTGACAGACATGACAAGAAACAGATATACTATATGACCTTTGACCTTAGAGGACGAGCGACCTCGGAACACGATCTCGTAGAATCATCCGTCGCGCTTGACCGCTCATGAACTGCTGGTCTCTCGTCTGTCCCAGGGTGATCTGCCACCATTCCTTGTCTCGAGATCCCTGGCAGGAGATGAAAATAAAAATCAGTTATGAATTATCAAATTGGCAACACATCTGCAGACAAAAAGAGAATTATGGTCTTATAAATAAATAATATGGTTATGTATATAGCCCCGGTATCCGCCAGGTCCTGACGCTCATGGCGCTTTACACATATTACCCTGGTTATAGCCGAGCTGCCAAAGTAACTAGCGCTCAAGAATATCAGGTACCCATTTACGCGTGGGTGGAGAGTGGCAAATGTAGATTAACGTCTTGCCAAAGGACAGTAGTGCCGCGGCGGGACTTGAACCCTGTACCTTGTGATCTGCAGTCGGGTGACTTATCAACTAGTCGACAACACCTCTACATATGGGGCTTCCTGTTGGGGAAAAGGCCTAATCACAAAGCATTTTTTCAATGACAAATGAAAAAAAGCAGTGACAAATCTACTGATAACCAATCAGAAACAAGGATTTCAGTAGCATATAACAAAAATTGTCATTTGTCACTGATGACAAGTTTTGTGAAACGCCCCCCTGATGAGGATTGTTGTGAGGTTAGATCAGACACAATACTGATTTGAAGCCAACATGTCCATTTCCATGACTGATAAACCTGAATTATCTCGTTACTCTGATCTTATTCTTGACAGGACCATCGTCAACTTCAAACTTGAATATTTCACATGCAGCCCCATATATATTCACCTTGGTTTGTTGAAATACAGGTCCATTGGCTGGCTCAACTTTGACCTTTGGCCTTGCGGGGGCGACAGGGGACGGGGTCGAAGGCATGTTGAAAGCTTCGTTAAGAGCTTTCATACTCATTTCACCACCGAGGATTGACCCTTGACCTTTACTGCCTACAGGGGGCGACATCAGCAGACTTGATGCAAGGATGCTCTCCTGTGAGCAGAAACATAAATCAGTGAACCATGAGCGAGATATAAGCGCAGTCAACCGCTAGAAAATCAAATCCTTCAGGACTGGAGAAAATAATTTGAAAAGCCAATTTTTGGGCCAGTGCAAGGTTGACTGTAATGCTCTTCCTTCACTCAAATAAACACTTGGTTCACTCAGAGTTAGATTTTAGATGGATATCCAGGATTTCTTCTGTTTAGTGTTTTTACCAAATCTTTCAAATGTGGGTAATACTTTTTTTTGGTCAAGTTTGGCAAACAGTAATGTAGAAGACTAAGAAGCCGGCCGCCCACCCACCGGCTGCCGAGATGGTTGCTACAGCATAAGATGCATAATAATATCAAAACTTTTCTTTTTTCAATGTGTATTATATCAACTTACATCAGCCTCTTCTTGTCTAGTCTCGTCTCCAGTCAAATTTTCCTTTTCCCTCTGCATGCAGCTGGACAGCGACTTCCTTACTTTCTTCACAGGTGATATTGATTCGGCCTGGAACAAAGAATAATGAGTGAAAATAACATTTGTATGAGATGAGAGTTGGTCCAGTGGATAGCTTTCTGTATTTGCCTACAAACTGGCTTTGACGGTTCCCTTTCCAAAACCAAGTCATGACTATCTATCGGACGGTGCCATTAATGTCAGGCCCTCAGATGAAAATAATCATCATGAGTCTGAAACATATTGCATACAAACACACAAACATACATAAAATGGTCATTTATAAAACTATAAACATGTGGGTTCTTTGATTTGTTGGCACAATATTTATCTAATCTCATCACTTTGGCTACATTCTACTCAATTCTCTAAACTTTCTTTCATACATTTTCATTCATTATTCAAAATCTTGCATACACTTAACGGATAACGAACGCCGATATGACTATTGACAAATGGATCTTTCTGATGTTAACAACCTTAGGCAATGGTCATATTAGATAAAAGTATTTTGGGATGAATGAAGTCAATCTAAAGATTAAAGATTTACATGGAACTACCCATTATAAAATGTACTGATAATCACATCATATGATTCCTACCTTCTGCAAGATGGCACGTTTTAATTGGTTAATCGCAATCTTGTTGAGCCCCTCTCTCTCGTCTCGAGCAATGATCTCTGAGATATCAGAAAGCTGGTTCGGGGTGTGCGGCTAGAAACAGAACAGAGAATTTTATCATTATAATTAGAAAATTCAAAGAGCATTGCAGCCTTTTCACACACAGCTAAAATTCTATAAACATGACTAGTATAAACGTGTTTCGAACGTGTTTAAACTAATCACGAGCCTTTCACACACAGAAATTTCGTTGCGATCGTTAATAGTTTCGTGATTAACTACTGCTCGTAAAATGCGCAGTAGTGCCATTGCGCATTGAAGGTCATGTCATGTCAATCAAAGCGCACGCTCCATCCAGTTTAAACACGTTTAAACACGAATTTCCTTTCACACACAAAATGTCAAGCTCTCTAGATACAAACTTCGTATCTGCAGCCTGCTTTTAGGGGCGTATGGATCGCGACTTCGTATCTATCCCAACATCGTATAAACGATGTTCACACTGGGAAATTTTGTCTATAAACATGTTTAAAACTGTTGAGTGATTCTAATCATCTCTAGATACGATGAATTTTAGCTGTGTGTGAAAAGGCTGCCGATCACCTAACTCTAAAATGTGTTGGTTTAAAACATGAGCTTGATGAAAGGATCCTGCTGTAAAGAGACATTTTCAAAATATATATGAGGTATTGCTATATAAAGAAGGTCTTCTGATTTCATTACTGCATCAATGACTGATAGATATCATATTGGAAAGCTTCAGGGGGGACCAGTAGTAATGCAATATTTATGGAATGAGAATAAGACTTCTTTGGGGATGCATATCAACAACAAAAAGCAGTAGCATGAAGCATGTAAATTGCTACAGATGTTGCCATTATCAATTAAACTGAATGTTCATGTCTACCCTATTCCAAACGAAAATCAATTTTCTACATAAGTCTCCTAAAATGGCTAATTTTCTGTAAATCAGGTCTCACAAAATACAGAAATTCTTCCAGTCAGTTCACAGACGTACTATTTAAGTTTGTAATTTGAAAAGCCTTTATAAGCATTCAAGGTTTGCAAATGTGATGCTGTTTTTATGTAGTGGTGGTGGTTATTTTACCTGGCAGCTAAGAAAGCAATAAATGCCTGTTAGTAAGCAACCAGAAGACAGACGGCTTTAGGTCCTCTCCGACGGACCTGGTAATGAGGATTAATGCCTTACCAAAGGGCACTAGCGCATCGAATTGGTTTCGAACCCGGGTCACCGGATTACAAGACCACTGAGCTATTGCGCCTCCTTAAATGTCAAATAATAACTTTCCCCAAACTCGATCTTCTCAAAACCACACATACCATTTTCCTGATTGGTCCTCCTGCCTTCTCTATGGCTGCCAGGGCATCCTTGAAGGGTGTAGGTGTCCTGGGTGTGTCAATCAACGAGCGTCGGATCCGAGGGGTGCGGAACATGCTGCCATGGTAATGGAGAGAGATAAAAGATGGTTATGATGATGATGGTGATTCACAGCATTTGTATGGCGCCATATATCTGTTTCAATAAACATTCAAAGGCACAAGCTCCTCCAAAAAAGTTAGCATTTAAATGTCTGAAGGAAGATGTGAGTCTTAAGTGAGTCGGGGCTTGTATACCTAGAATGATTTTAGATACCTTTGAAACTTGATGTCTATTGTTGTGTAAATGAGCGTTGTGGAAGACTTGGAGACAGGACATGAAAGATCCAAACCAGCATGGGAAAAATACATTTAAAAGCCCCTCTGCACTGGTTTGGCCAGGGGATATTAGACCTCCCTGCATGCCCACTGACAGGTGGTTATCTCATCAAATCAGCTCACAATTAACATTAGAAAAAGGAGATCATGGGGGACCAATGGTCACTGCATGCTCAGGCATTGTTTGCTATATAGAGGGCACAAGTAGCTATTATAAAAGTAGTGCAGTGGGACTTTAAAGATGAAGTTGAGTTCTGGTCATGCGATTGCATTGTGAAAGAAACGGTGTGGAATCGACCAGAAAAGGTTGATCATCTAGCATATAAGAATTTGTGTGTATTGCAAGGTTCTGGAATCATCAAAATGATAAGATATTGGCCAAGTCTTAGTAAAGTTACAAACACTGTACACAGAAAGATGTATATGGGACTACACGAACACGTGGCGTAAAAAACCTACCCCCCGAGTTTTACGATGTACATGAAGTATTTAGAATATGAAGGCATTTGAAGAGCCATGCTTTTCAGGGAACATAAGAATGATAATGCTCATAAATTATTTTTCACCTCTTCCCAGAACTCAACCTTCTCTTTAAAAGATGATGATGTTTGATGATGTTGACGATAAGAATGATGAAGAAGAAGATGGTGATGAATTCTTCTTCTTCACTTTCCCTATACTGTTCAATCTATTTATCTTCTCACTCGTTGTACCCAAAGGACCCTTTATCATGTCACGGACTCCAGGAAGAATTAGTGTCATTCCCTCCTATTTATGTAACAATATTTACTTAAGATAACAATATTAAAAAGAATTATCTGAAATAAAAAAGTCATTCCTTACCCAGCTGGTGTTGTGAGCATTGAGGGAGTGGCTTGTGAATGGTTTCCACCAATCGGAGTGGAGGTGAGCAGTAAAGAGGAGGAGCATGTTGCCGAGGTGCTTCCATTCAGAAACTGAAAGAGAACCAGTGATACCAGGCATATTGTGAAAACAAGGAAAGATGAAATGAGAAGAAAATAAATCAAGGTAATTGCTGACTCGCTGTGTCTCAATGTCTATAACAGCATCTAGTTTGTCAGCATGATTAGGTCTCGCTCTATGTTTAAGGGCAATCTAACCCTTGTAATCGGTTTCTTTGCATTAAAACAGAAAAGAGCAAGAAAGAGGAAATCTGATCAGTGAAAAAAAAAAAGAACAAGTAAAAAGAACAGTTTTGGATGTTTGAAAGATTACATCATTTGTTGTATGTGAATATCAAATTGGTCATGTTGTCTATGGATTGTTACGTACTTTGTCAACTCTCCTTATAAAAAAAGTATCATTAATTTCCTTTTTCTTTTTCTTCAATTTTGAGACATTTTTGTGCATCAAATGAAAACAAGCTTCACTCTCTCTAATGGTCAAGATCTGCATGAATCAAAGTCAGTCTCTTTGTAAAAATACCGTTAAATGGCATTGAAGCCCCTCTAAAAAGTTTGGAGCCCCAAATTTGCCAAAAAATTGAGGGCAAAATTTCACTTAAATCGTATCATAATGTGAAAGAGGATTGACACAAAGTTTCCAACCCCCCCCCCCCCCAAAAAAAAAAAAATGTTTGAAGACAAATATTGATAAAAGAATACATAATTTGGGTTTTCTGTTGTATGCGGAAAACCTATATTTTGTATTCTTAAATTTGAGAATCCTTGCAGCAACACATCTTAAATGACATTCTCTTTCACATTATGATACCATTCAAGGGAAATTTTGCCATCACATTTTTGGGGCTCCCGACACTTTAGAGAGGCCTTAAAACTGAACTTATGCGATCTGTAGAGGGCTGGCTTACCTGTGAGGGTGAGAAGGGGAGGGTCTTAATGGGCGTACCCTGAGGCGTCTTGTACCGGGATGTGTTAGGCGTGTTCAGGGTGGAGCTTAATGATGTATCCATGGAAACATCAAAGGAGGCGGAGCTTGTTCTAACTCGCTACAGGAGAAACATGATGGGATGAGAGAATGTAAAACATTAGCACAAACTTACTTGAATTTGGTTTACAGTTATTTGATAAACTTTTTTTAAATGTTTTATGTCCATGACCCAAGAATGAATGTATTTTGATATGAAAATAGAATGGAAAAAAAAAACAGTGGAAAACTACTACAATTTGGTGAGGGCATAAACCTTCCTGGTTCTTAGCACAAGAACTGTTCAACGGCACTGTAAAAAATAAAAATTTATGATGTCAATATAATACTTTTATTAAATTTTATTACATTCCTGTTAAAAAATTGCAAAACATGCAAATACAAAAAATATAAATATTGCCAATTAAGTGGCCCAGCAGAGCTCTCAGTGAGAGTCGGTTGTTTCAGCACATTGAAAAGCTTTGCCAAGCGTCTGGTGACACACACTACTGTTCACATTTTGCGAGATAGACCAAAACTTCTGAGATTGTGCCCTTACCTTGCGTTTGGCCTTCCTAAGGATGGTAGGAGGGGTGCTGAACTTGGATGTGACGGGTGACGTGATGGGTATAAGACCACCTGATGCCTCACGTGACAGGTCTAGAAGCGCCTGGCCATCAAAACGATAGTCTGTCAAGAGAAAGAGATTCAAAAAGGGAGTTGGATTTTAAAGTTAGTATGGAACTTGCTGACTTCTTAGACTAATATAACTCAAGATGGACCCCATGGAAGCCTCTACACCTCTACATGAACAAGCTCAAAGCCCTTTACCTTAGTAAATAAAACAGAATAATTATTCATACTGGATAAAAAAATACATGTCGTTAAAAACCTTATACATATTGATGTATGTTAATTATGCTCATGAGCAGAACACTCAGTTGTAATTTGTAAAGGATTGATTTTTGAAAAACCTACCACCATCATAAATCTAATGTCACATTGTTGTGAAAATGTGGAGGATAAGAAAAGTAAACATAATCGTTTCACCATCTCTGTCTTCTCTCTCTCTCCTTGCATATGATTCACATTTATTTTATTTATTTTGTATTATTTTCCTTTCAACTCTTTGTCCATCCTCTCTCCCTCCTTCTATGATAATATACCTCTAACTTGTCTACACACATTATGTAAACATTACAAATAAATACTGAGAAAAGACACAATTTCAAATTAACACCTACATAAAACAAGGGTATATTTCTAACAAGTAAAAATGTACATATACAAAGCTTTCAAAAGCTTATGAATCAGCTAATTAATATATTTTTTGCATAAACTACGAGCAATAACAATAACAATAACAAAAGTCTAAAATTTGAAACATACCGATAGATCCTTTGGTGTTCATATGGGTGAACTTAATGGGAGTACTGGAATTGACCCCCAGTGAAAGGTCAAAGGTTGATATTCCATTGTCCTTGTCATCAAAGGGATGACCGCTGGTCTCAATCAGATCATGGAAATCTCTGCAGAGGGAAGGAAGAAAGTTTAGAAAGAAGAAGAAATTAGAATGCTTCTGTGATTGGTGCACTTGATTGCAAGCCCCGTGGTACAGCGAGGCTTGCAATCAAGTGCACGAATCACAGAAGCATGTTTTGCGCTTGATGTAACATGTTCAATGTTGCGAACCTGTATTAAATCAAAGTATTCTAGCTAAAAAAATATCATTTTTCTTAGTTAAATCAAATTTTTTTTTCTCTCTGATATTTGTAATAGTTGTTATGCATATTTTTGGTAAAAAAAAATATTCATGTTCTGTGTTTTGTAATAAATACAAATACAAGACTGAAACAAAGTGAAACTTATTTTTAAACTTACCTGAAAGGTGAGATTTCACCACAATTGTCCATGATCAGCCATTTCTGAGGAGTCTTGACTCCTTGTTTGACCTTTGAACCTTCCCCTTCATCTTGACCTAGGGTGTCGTGACCCATCGGGTAGAGGGTACGCACCACACGCTGACCCTGACCTCGCATCCTCAGAGCATCTGAGAGAAGGAGAGGAAGAAAATAAAACAAAATCATGAGTGGGAACTTCAATCATTGTCATCAATGTTTTGGTCTTAACTTATATAGCCCGAAAGAAAGACACAGAAATATCGGATCCCAAATATTCTGTAGAGTAAAAAGCCTGACAATCCTAAGTCGGAACTTCAAGTTTAGTTAAAAACAGCCATTTTGGTTTTACCCGTATGCATTGTACAGTCAAACCTGTTTAGTGACCACCTGTCTACAAAGACCACATTTTTTAATAACCCTTGAAAATGGTTTCTCATTGAGAAATGTATTGAAGGAGCCTGTCTACAAAGACCACATTTTTTAATAACCCTTGAAAATGGTTTCTCATTGAGAAATGTATTGAAGGAGCCTGTCTACAAAGACCACATTTTTTAATAACCCTTGAAAATGGTTTCTCATTGAGAAATGTATTGAAGGTGCCTGTCTACAAAGACCACTTTTTGTGTTTCCCTTGGGCGGTTGCTATAGACAGGTTTGACTGTAGCTCGAAAGAAAGACCCATATATATTCGATCCCATATATTCTGTAGGGGAAAAAGCCTGAAAAGCATTGACACAGAGGGGAGACAGGCACTTCTTCTTCTTCTTGAGTCACAAAGCCACAATGTTCACTGTTGGTTAGATGTCCCAAGCCAGTGTTGGATGCATTGTATCGTGCAGGGGGTCAGTGCTTCCAGATCTTTTTGGGTTCAAGGGTCTGGTGGGTGTGGGAAGGCTAGGAGATGTATCATGCTGCATAGTCTGCTCCTCTACAGGGCTTGTAAACAGGTTCAAGCCTGCAAAATGACAGCCCTGTCAACAAAGCCTTTTTTGCAAGAAGAAACAATCCAGAATCGCAAGATTGAGTGTTGCAATTCAATCATTTTGGGGCAAAAAACTCTTGTGATTATCTAGAATCTTGACCATAATCCAATGTATGACATGTTCATGCATGCAAAAGTCATGTTGACATCTGAAAGAATTGACAAGATAAAGCGGTAAGGGAAAGAAGGGGGGGGGGATGATGAAGAAGAAGAAGAAGATGAAAATAATGAAAACATGGATACACATAAAGACAAAAACAACGACATACCTCTAATGGAATTAGCATTCATGAAGTCACTATCTGGTGTGTATATCTTGGAGCTACTGCTACATGGTTTCTGTCAAACAAGAAAAACACATAACAAAATATGACTGCCTAAATTTTTACAAATTACTGATCGAGTTCACATTGCAAATGTAATTGTAGCTGCATTTTTATTATAAAGAAGGTAACACTTCTTCACATCTTGTTGTCATCAGCACATATCCGTCCATATGTCGATACGACAAGATATAATTATCACATTATTGATACTACTATCACATAACCATGATGACATAACTGAACTGTTTTCTGGTCTTATTACCATGTCCCATACATTTTCCAGAGTCACCACCTTTGCAGGTTGTAATAACCCACTGCACTATTCGTATAAGCATAGGGGGAAACCCCGGTGTAGTGGTCCACCTGCACACCCCCAATCAGTTATACCAGGACAGACCCGAGGGTTACAGTCAGTGATGCAGATCGCTTTTTCCCTCCCAGACACAGGCGATGCCAAATACCTAATAATAATAACAATAACAATACACAGGATTCTAGAAAAAACGGTTGTAATGATGAAGATTTGAACTTACCTGGTTATCATTAGTGTGTGTATAGTGAGGTGTCTTGGTTGTCTTGCTGGGGGTGTAGGGGTTACATGTCTCTACTTTCCTCTTCATCGTGGAGTTCCAGTGATTCTTGATAGCATTGTCCGTCCTGCAAAGGGATTTGATAAAGGAATTTGCCTCATTCAAACAAAAATATAAACATCAAATGAAGGAATTTTTATCTTATGTTTAATCAGCCTGTACACACTTGTTTATGTACAACCCATTCTTTCTTTTCTCTTTACTTTGTATAATTATCTGCGGCCATTGAAGCCCAGCCTTGAAAGGCTACTGGCTCCTCCATATTTTTTGTATTGTTTATTTGCTTATATGTATTGTATAATGCATACATGCCAACATTTGAAAATCAGAAATCTGTACAAATTATGCTATTTTCAAAAAAAAGAGGAACAATCCTAACTCTCCTATTCAATACTACAGACAAATTTGTACAGGAAGGGGAACACCTGCATTAAAATGATAATTATCTTCTCCCAAAAAGAGGAATGTTCCTCTTTAATCTGAACAGTTGGCATATATGATAATGTATTGTTTAATGTATTTTTGTTACGAGGATTGGAAATAATGAATGAATATTGAATGGAGACCGAGTCACACATTGAATCAAGAATTTATACATGAATTGTCAGGGACTGATAGAATATCAAAAACTGAGAAGTATTTGACATTGAATGAATGTTTTAACATCTCTTCTGAACATCATACATAAGGCGTCCATGTGGTAAATTCAAGACTGTTGAGCATGATATATGATATTCTTCCAAACTTACATAAAATGAGGGAGAAAGCTGACAAATTACATTTCACTCTTGTCCACAACTCAACCTTAATTCTCTTGGACCAGTCTACCTTTAGAGATTCCTATATTCCTAGAACCACCACCACCACTGTCATAATCATCATTCTTATCATTGTCAACACAATCACCATCATCATTATAATCATCATCAACACAATCACCATCATCATTATAATCATCATCAACACAATCACCATCATCATTATAATCATCATCAACACAATCACCATCATCATTATAATCATCATCAACACAATCACCATCATCATTATAATCATCATCAACACAATCACCATCATCATTATAATCATCATCAACACAATCACCATCATCATTATAATCATCATCAACACAATCACCATCATCATTATAATCATCATCAACACAATCACCATCATTATAATCATCATCAACACAATCACCATCATCATTATAATCATCATCAACACAATCACCATCATCATTATCATCACCACCATTATCAACTTGAATGTACTTCTACATACCTTCCTGGAAGAAGCTTTGCTATCTCAGCCCATCTGTTACCAAGTTTCTTATGAGCTTCATAGATGATGTAATCCTCCTCTTTAGTCCAAGCAGACTTCTTAATATCAGGATTCAGATGATTATGCCATCTACAAGAAGAAAAATGTTTATTTATCATAATGCAATGGTTGCCAATAACAGGGACGAGACAGAGAAATTTCCAAGAAGGAGGAAGATTAAATGGGGGTCCGGGGGCAAACCTGGAGGGGATTAAGGGGGAAGCGCCCCGTACAGGGGGACCTATCTGCAGAAAACTTTGAATATATCAAACGTTAAAGGACACGTTTTCCTTGTATTTTAAATTCTAAATTTGAGAAATATTTGTTACCCATCTTGCTTCAAGGGACTCTATAACATTGTTCAGATGAGAGAAAGATGGTGCTAAGGTAGTGAGGTTAATGCTAGATGTACAATAAGTGATAATCTGAAAGTTTAATCCCCCCTTTAAATCTCAAAATCAGTGAAGGAATCTCATCCCTACATTCATCAATGTTTAAAGAAATCAGTGATTTGTCCTGTAGTTTAAAGATGGTGACATTGATGGTCGGAATTCAGTTATACAGCAGGTTGATCATGCATGCCTATGTAATGTTGTGCCCTCCCTTTCTTTAACTTCAAACAAATATGAACTCAGTGTTTACATGTATATAACTAAAGGAATCAAAACACATTTAACACATCGTAACAATTATGGGAAATAAGAAACATTTGAACTACATTTATCATATAAAAAACAAACAAAATGATATTACTAGTCTTTACATGGTAGTCTTTATTTCCTAACTTTTTTTTATACTATTTGCTGGCATAATATACAAACATGTATAATAGAAATGTACAGACATAATATAATTTAGATGGACGATTCTCTTATTAGTTTCTATCAAAAAATACCATACATTTCTCTGCATTTCTCTGTCTGACCCACAAAGATTCAATGATTAAAATCGTGAGTAAAAACTTCAATCATTGTCAACAATGTTTTGGTATTACCCAAATAGCCTGAAAGATATATATTGGATCCCAAGAAGATCTGGAAGCAAAGGTTTGCAATAAATTATGAGGCAATGTATATCCCAGCAGTTGAGGAAACCCTGTTAATTTCCACTGATGGTACTACCTGAACTGATACAAGATTGATTTTTTTGTTTGCTATTGAGAGAAGACAGAGATAGCATACCTCTCCCTGCACTGCTTGCCTGTACGCCCCACGAGAAACTTGCTGATGAGAGACCAACGCTTAGGGCCGTGCTCACGAACCAACTCAACTACTCTCTCATCCTCCTGGGTTAGTAGATTAAAACAAACAATTGCGTAGAAAAATCAACAATAACAACATGCAGAAAACAACAATGATTATTGAAAGGAAGAATTTACTCCGATACTTAGTCACACCAGACCAACAACAAACCGAACAAAAATATTAGGTTATGTCTTTGGCCAAAAATTGGTCGGTTAAGAGTTGGTCTGAAGTTGGTGTGGCCGTGTGACTGAGGTATTAAACCAGTAACTTTTGCAAATTTGGAAAGTGCTTCTGATGAGCAAAAGTTTCTTGCTGCCAAAAATGAATTAAAACATTTCTTTTTGTAATTGGCATAAGTCATTTGTCAGGAATAGTTTTAGTTAACAATACCTGACAAATTCTGGATACAATAGCTTCTGGCTTAGAGTAGTTCAACATCAGTAAACCAGTAATTTCAAACAACAAAATAACTAAAATTGGAATTAAAACAAAATTGAAAACAAAACAAAACAAATCAAAAATGATTCATACTTCCTGCTGAGAGCAAAAAGAATAACTCAAACTCTTTAAAAAAGAGAATAAACAATAAAAACGCCTTTCAGCTCTCAAAAGACGATGATTTGTCGAAGCTTACCTTTCCCTACATTGCTTGCCTATTCTACCTGGTATATGTTGACTGATAACAGACCACTGTTTGTTCCCTAGCTCTACCACTAACCGCCTGATTAACAGGTCCTCCTAGTTCATGGAGAAATGATTACCAGTCTCATCAGATAAAGGAGACTCACGTTTCATGAATGTACTCACAGTTTATTTAAATTATACATTTCAAATTGACTCTAATTCATGACTTGATGTCATGTTTTAATGTTTAGTCCGACTAAATGGTATTCATGCAGCAACATCTATGCTCTGAACTTTTGAAGATTTCAGGGAAAAAGCTGTAATTTGATTGAAGGTCTAATGTGTATGTAATATTTGTGTGTGTAATTCAAACAAGTAGGCTTTCAGCCTTGCATCTATGGACATTGAAATATGGCAGAATAGTAGGCCTATGTAATTTAACCACATGAACGAATTCTCTTTCATTGAAATGCCTGATGATTAACCCTATTTAGCCCGGGCTATTTTGAAACTGCATAGCCCAGGGGGGGGGCTTCTCAGGCCCCCCCCTGTGATCTCGGCCGTGAAACGCCCGATCGCCGCGAAAATTTGCATACATGTCAAGTGAAGTGTATAGAATACTATGGTAATTTCAATTTTTTTGAAAAATTCACTCATTTGCATATTTATAGTAATTTATGCAAATAAGGTCATTAAATTCACATTTTTGCCCATAAATCAGACATTATTCATATTTAAGCATTCTTTCTCACTACATATATTTGTTAGACCATTTGGAATAATAATACAACACAAAAATTTGAAAAACCAGGGTTATTCCTTATGTTATCTATTGTTTTGATAATTTCTTATGTATTTCTTTGTTTTTTTAACTTATGTATTTTATTGTTTTTGTTGTTTTATTTCATTTCCAACTATAATTCAACTATTTTGACCCCAAAATAAACACCTAAAATCTAAACAAGACCAAATAACCAATGTTTTACCTCTTTATTTGAAAAATGAGATTTCCATATGTTTTGTACACAAATCACAAAAATGAGCGATTTTCGGGCTGACATGCGAAGACAAAAGGACACGTGACTTTGTAATGGTAGGTCCGATTTTCGAAAAATTTCTTTCAAAAGTTGCGCAAGACTCGAAAGAAAAAAGTCACAAAATTTCAGTGCAAGATTTTCTTGCGTTAAAAAATTATCGCGAAAAATGTCGAGGGGGGGGCTTCTCAAGCCCCCCCCCGGGCTAAATAGGGTTAAGGGAAGGAATGAAAGAAAGCAAGAAAAAGTATAATGTGGGATGGTTTTCTGAAAACCATTATCTTTATTTTAATGATCTTATTTTAATTGTTATTTAACAATACTGTACATTACATTTCGGACAACTGAAAGTCTGAAACCATTTCAATAGGTAGAATAATTCACTTTTGGGGACCCGTTTCACAAAGCCTTTTTTCAATGATAAACGACAAAAACCAATGACAAATCTGCTGATAAGCAATCAGAAGCAAGGATTTCAGTAGCTTATAACAAAAACTGTCATTTGTTACTGATGACAAGTTTTGTGAACCCCCCCCCCCCCAGGACTACTCCATGAGCTTTACTCCTTGACCTTTGACCTTACCTCTGTAGTCCAGGGACCTTTGACCAGGTCAGGGTTCAGGACCTTCTGCCAGCGATGGAAACATTGGAGCTCAGATCGGTTTGGGAAGAAGCTTCCGATAAGTTTCCAGTCTAGCGTGCCATGGACTTCAATGGCTTGCCTCAGCATGTCGTCCTGAAGACAGAAAAATTGGAGAGACTTTTAGTGAATGTAGAACTACAAGTACATTTAAGCGTGATGCTTGAGAGCAGAGAAGGGCATTACACATGTCGTATAGCCATAGGTTCATAAGGGGGAATAACATGTTTGAGTATTTTCTCTTTTTAAAAATCCATTAACAAAATTTAGTGAAGGTGAATTAATGATGTTGATTTTGTTTTCACCCTATAACAGGAAGAATTACATTTTTACTGTGGTAGGAATACACACAGTTCAATTGGATGTCGGCAAACTTGAGGTTTATACACAAATGATAGTTACGATACACAGGATGAGAATACACCTGGGCTGCGTCTCACGAAACCGTCATTAAGTACAAGTTCAGCGACATCACATTAAAATTCGTGTTTAAAGTTTAACACGCGTTACAATGGGATGTCGCTGAACTTGTACTTATGACAGTTTCGTGAGACACAGCCCTGATGGTAGCCTGTATTTATAGCGAAGGAAGATAAGCAGGAGAAAGAGGAAGAAAAAGAGACATGATCAAACCTCATCCTTTGTCCATCTTGCTCGGCTGATCTCTTTCCTGGAATAGAATGATGATCCATGAGACGAATCACTCATGTCCTGATCCGTGTAATCGTCTCCATCGCTAGCACTGTCTGTGTCATCGTAATCACTGCTCAAAGCAAGACACACAAAGTTAAATTACAGTAGGTAAATTATGAATTTCATGGATTCAGATAAAAATATGATTATCATATGATCATTAATTTATTGCCAAAGACAAACATGACACATTAAAAAAACTGTATTGCAGGGGAGGTCATCTTATGATCTTAGTACAGGAGATCTCCCCCCTCCCACCACAATTAAAGTAAATAAAATATATGAAATACTAGCATTGCATGATCAACATTAAGTGAAGAATAAAAATAACCTAATCATCTATTCCACAACTTTCCTTGAAAATGGGTAAAGAATTATCAATAAACAGAGAAGTCAAGTCATGCTAGTCAGCAGTCTAATTCACAAATTTTCAGTGTAACTCACTGTTCCAAAAATCACTCATAATTGTGAATAATGCATAATGCATGGACTTTACACACTCACTTTGTTATCCCTGCAATCTTTTCCCATTTTTTTTTTTTTTTTTTTGGGGGGGGGGGGGGGTGGGTCTCCTCCATTCACCCCCATTATTAATAGTATGAGTATGATGTATGACCACTGGCAATCACATTTGTACACCCCAAAATATGGCTCATGCCAGTGTAAGTTCCCTCACGGAATATTTAGGACCACTTTCCAAGATCTGATAATTAATTCCAGGCTCAATCATGTCTATTGGGTGGTTTGTCAGAGCAGAGTGCAGTGTGCGACTGTGAATCAGACTCTTGTGTTTTTAACTGTTTAAGTACCTAATTTTTTTCAAAGGACAACCGACCACCACAAATGGAACAGCCTTCAAAAGTCTACCTTCGATCCAATGTCAACCAGTCCTCTCTCATTTAATTCATTTTCAGTTCATTGTTTCTGATATTTCACATGATAGACCTAGACCTACATACATCACATGTATCTTTTACTATAAAACAATTCTTTGTAAATTATAATCACATAAAATGGAAAATAAATACATGTTACAAATTAAGTTATTGATCAAGTTATTCAAATAAGTTATTATTCAAATTAACAAGTTTAAGAAGATGAATGTTTATTTGACATTGAAATATGACGAAACATAATATTTGTTATACTAATAAAAAGCTGTAGGTCTACCTAAGTTGTAACATTGCATTTTGTAAAGAATAAATGTAGGTTCTGTACAATTCAAATCTGCTATATTCCTTTTAGAACAGTTTCCCCTTCTTATTAAATCTTTCTAAGGCCATGTAAAATTGATTTCATGTTGATCGTCCCCGCCCGCTTCCTTTTTGGGGGCCGCCTCCTATTTTTTGTTATTTGTTATTTTTTTTTATTTTTTATTTTTTATTTTTTATTATTTTTTATTTTTTTGAAAGAAAAAAAACATGAAAAACACTGCTAAAATGGCTCTATTTCTGATTTTAAAAAAATTGTCGGCGGCCATCTTGAAAAAAAATAGCCTCGACTGTCAGGGAAAATGTACCGAGCGGCCATTTTGAGCGGCCATTTTGAAATATCAAATATCAAATAACATGGTACACCCTCCTCCTCTTTTTCAAAAAATCCGGACGATCAACATGTAATCAATTTTACATGGCCTAATACTGTGTAACACGTACACCCTTTTCACGGTTAAAACCGCCAATTTAATATGCACATAAACATTCCGTCATCAATGTTTTCAGTAGCCCAAATTTTCTGTCTCTTTCGTTCGTTAGTCTCTGATTTAGGTAGAGCCGACCCAAATCAGAGGCTAACAGACAAAAGAGACAGAAAAATTGGGCTGTTTTCAATTTCAGATGCGCATGTATTGTTGCGTTACTGCTTGCGCTCACATCATATTAACATGGGCGCCATCTTAAATTACGAGTAAACAACCTTGTTTAGACTACTCGTAAATTAAAATAGCGTCCCTGTCTGCGCATGCGCACTCTTGTAACCGCAACAAAAATGGTGTAGGGGGTCCTCTAACCAATTGCCCACCTCCACTCCAGTCTCCAGTAAAGTAAAATTAAAACTCCGTTTTCAGTAGGGGCGCTGGTCCGAGAATAAGGATCGTCTTCATAAGCGAGGATCGTCTTCTTTAACACTGACCGATGCGTCCTCAAAAATAAGGACCGTCTGCATTTTTGCAGACGTTTCATATTTTTGATCGGCGCATTGGCGATGCAAAAAACGGATTCTGCAATGATTTTTCTTGATGCAATTTACATTGACTTTGTACAGAGACCTTCACATTATGAGCAATAAATCCTTGGGAAGACGGACAACCCATAAAAGTAGACGGACAACTAGGGTTATTTTCCCCAGGGGAATCCATTTTTGGCATCGCCAGCGGGCCGTTCTGTAACATGAAACCCCCAGAGCGCCGATGAAAAAAAACGTCCTCGAAAATGCAGACGACCCTTATTTTTGAGGACACATTTTGTCTTCGTTTATGAGGATATCCTTGTTTATGAGGACGATCCTCATTCTCGGACCAGCGCCCCTACTGGTTTTTTGGAGTATATTTTAGGACTAGATCTAGGCCTAGGAGTCGGACTAGGAGGATAACAAACAAAGAACAGCAAACCTAGTAGCCTAAGTTATAGTTTTATATAGGCCTAGATCTAGGTCTACACATTGATTTATGCCTGCTTTGGATTTATTAAAAAGCAGTTTAATCACAGACATATCATCACAGACACTGCACTACACTGTACGACTCGACTGTGCGTTTATCGAGTGCTCAGCTCGGCTTAGTGACGCTGACGCTGTGCCAAAAAAGCGTCAACGCGTCACTGAAATAGCTCTGTGAAATAAAATTGTATTGCAATAATCATGATAATTGTCTTAGTTTTATCTTACCCCATCAATTTTCTTGAATTCATTGTTCATACATATCTCAGGAACATCCCACTCATGCAAAAGGTAATGGTTCTGGTGTGGGTAAAGTGTATTTCTAGGCCGAAAAATAGCTGCATTCCTAGATCCCAGATGTTAACACACGCAAACAATGGTTTCTCAACGCGATCGAATGAATGAATGAATTGCACGTCAACAAAATGGGCGGCTGCCGGCCATAGACGCTACGTGTAATACAAAGCCTGTACAAAAGTCAATGGGAACCCCGGAAGAACAGAATGAATGTCGAATTTGCGCGCGGTGAGTAATGAGATTACGTCACCTGTCTCCTGTGCGATGATTGGCCAAGCATGGGCCAGGGTTCCTTGTCACTAGCTTACATTTCAGACCTTGATTTTTTAAAAGGATACTATCTTTTTGAAAATATATAATTACTGTGCTGCATATTATTAGTAAAATACTTATAATTCAAAAAGTTAATATGATAAATTGTAATTTAAATTAAAGATGGATTTAGGTAGCTTTTTACCTTAAAAACTAAAATTGTTCACTTCTATATTTCTTGTTGAATCACGACTACTATGACTAGTAGTAGTACTCACTGATCTCTACGGAAAAATGATTTTTCCGTAGAGATCAGTGCTAGTACTTGGTTAACTTTGATAGCCCTCTACGGCAATAATGTAATCACCTCGCTCACTTTCATCAAAACTTCCAACATTATTCATTCGAATATTTTTCATTCGTTCAATAGTGCGAATATTTGCATTCGTTGAAAGATTAACGTTAATCTTTCAATTCATGAAAATATTCGCACTATTGAACTCATAACCATTCATTATTTTTATAATAATCAAACGTATTGGTAGTCTTCAACGTTGTTTAAAATCATTTGTTAAAAACAAAAAAAAATCATATACAATTAGCTCTATCTTGGTTACTGTCAAACGTTAATGTCATGTCATAATCACATTGGCTATATTACGCTATATACCTGTTCCATATTTTTTCTAATCATTATTGAAGGGGGTCACCTTGGATAAAAAAAAAAAAAACAGAAATGTGTTATCCTTATCGTACCATGCATAGCCAGACATTGTAAATTCTCCTTTCCAACTTCAGATTTTTATCGCTCAAATATTCTTATTTCTAATATGGTATATATGACTTTTATGCATATAAAAAGTAAAACCACCCAGTGTTTGATTCATCAACCCCCCCCCCCCCCCCCCCGGCACGAGAGCCAGTAACGTGAACCGTTGAAATTGTTGAAGGTTGATGGAAAAACTGCGTAATTTTTTGTATGAAATGTTACTTATTTTATTTTACTGTAACCCTCTAACATGCAACAAATCATTAAAACATTCTCAAACCACAAAGTATGTTATGGTTTTCTTTGAAGGCATCACTGTGTGACACCCTCTAACGGTAAATTCTCCCAACCAATTTTTGAATTTTTCAAACCGTTTTTTTCCATGAAAGTAGGACATTTAACAGGCTTTAAAAAAAAACACTTAAATGTTTGGCATGGTATATAAAGCCAACTAATTGCTTTGTGACTCTTTACATTTACCTAAACTATAATAATATAGTTGGGAGAATTCAGGAATAGATTAGATCTTTTCCCCCTAAAAATGATTTGTTTTCACTCAAACTTTCAGATTATCTTTAAATGCCATCTAGCTTTGAAGTTAGGCCTACCTAATTAGGACCATTCTCTGTCTCTCATCTGAAAATCCACTGGGTCAACCCCCCCCCCCTGGCAAAAAGTTAGATCCGCCCCTGACGTCAGATCTTTTAGTATTATTTAGAAGCGATGTCATAAACAGGTGCTACATAATCAAAAGGGGAATCCCAAAAGAATTTAACTCTAAGCATAATGTATTGTATTTACTTGCAGGGTCTCAACAGCAGAATGGCATATCATTAGAGAATCTTTGCTTCAAATCACATCCAATCATGAACAAAACTATTCTACAATAGACTTGAATTCTGTTTTGCATTCCTTCCAAACAATATACCTATTTTTCCTTTAATGATGGAATCATAGATAATAAAGTACAGTAACCTTTACTGAGATGCCACATACGCCATGTAAGCGGGAAGTTATATAGTCCATAAGGCCGTAAGCTGCTATTATTGGTATTTTACAAAGGGAAAAGACGTGGACTATCATCTGTGTATGCGGGCGCGTGGGTGTGGTTGGGTATGTGAGCGGGGGCGACAGGTGTTGTTATAACCCCCGCCCCCCCCCCCCCCCCCTCCAGGGTCGAAATGACCGCATGCGTGTAACCAAATTGTCCGGTAAAGGGGTACGTTTCATGCGACAAAGTCCGGCCCGGGGGGTAGTGAGCACATTTTTTTTTTTTTTTGATCCTCAAAAAAATTTCAATTTGCACCCCCAAAAAAGGTAAAAATCACGTGATTTTACATGATTTTTTTTCTCAAGGGGGGGGGGGGGGGGGGGGCCGGGCCCCCGGGCCCCCCCCCTGGATCCGCCACTGCATATGCGTACCCTAAATAACGCTGAATGGGGAGGGGCGGCGACTTATAACCATCTACAGCATCTTTAGCACCTTCTGATGCAGCCACACACCGACGATCCTCTGAAACATCTCAAAGCGAGTCCTTCCCCCCCCCCCCCCCCCCCCCCCCCCTCGAAAGAAAAACAAATCCATTTCCCAGGTGGGTAATAGCCACCCATGGAATCAGTAGGCTAAAGCTTTGAGCGAGATCTTTGCAGGCTTGCATTGTTTTCCTTTTCTAAATATTAATCGGCGCACACGAGCCCCCACCCCAGGCGTACATATTCTAAAAAGAATGAAACGCCGATAATACCAAACAACAACAACAACAACAACAACAACAACAACCTGGCATTGAAAAAGTAAAAGAAAGTTGGTAGCAACAATTTTACTCTTTTTTGGCTCAAAGGGGGGGGGGGGGCTTGTTGAGTAAAAATAATAATGAACATTACCCCTCCCCCCTCCCACCCCCTGCGTATCAATGCTGAATATTTTCTCACGAATTGGGCCCCCACCATCGCCGCCGGCTAGATTCGCCCCTGGTTCTTTTCCCTACCTGAATTCATGTTGATACTAGAAGAAATATGCCCCAATTTGTACTCAAATGTCTGCCCTGTGCTCTGTTCATTCCACGAGCACTTGTAGAGTACAGCAATACAACATTATTTTTGTCATCTGTTAATTCATTTTTTATTATTCATTCAATTACATGGTAATTATGTGGTGCAAGAATAAATAGAGAAACTCCACCCCCTCTCCTGGTTGTCAGGGGTGACAGAGCGCTCATCGCATCCTTTCGAGCCAACCGGCTGGTGGAGGGGTGGGGAGGGGTGGGGGTGTATCTGACTCTCCTCGAATGTCTTCGTCAACGCATCAGCCCCCGCCCCCCCCCCCCACTCAGTGTTATTTAGGGTACGCATATGCGTGTTCCAACCGACCCCCCCCCCCCTTTTCAGCAAAAGTCCGGTGTGTAAAGTCAATACGGGTCGACCTTTTTCTTTTGTCACGAAAAGGACTTTTAGGCAACACACATGGGGTCCGTCCGTTCTCGGAGTGGGGGGGGGGGGGGGGGGGGGGCGGGCTATCACCCTATTAGCAACCCTACCGGATTCCATATGCGCATGCGCTGGTTTCCTTCGCGAGCTCTATCTGGGTTCGATGGGTACACACAAATAAGACGCGATCGGCTCGCCTATATACATCTGAGGCCATGATCGAGCCGTGCTTAATTAATGGAAAGTCGTTATATAGTCCAGTGTGAATATGCGTCCTCCGCATAACGATGATGTAAAAAAAAAAAAAAGGGGGGAGGGGGGTGCTGAAAAGGTTCGTATAACAAAAGAAAAAGGTCAACCTGTATTGACTTTACACACCGGACTATAGATGAAGGGGGGGGGGGGTAGCTGGGATGGCATGGCATCAATCCGATAGCTCGTTTTTAGGTCAACATCTCCCGATTTTTAAAGCTTTAGATTTCGAGTTTTCAGAGAGCAGCTGTTTAATCGTCTGACAGGCACTAAAGTAGCATAATTATAATTGGTATCATCGGATCTAGCTTTTTGCTAAGAGGGGGGGGGGGGGGGGGGGGGCGAGGGGTTGGGTTGACCCAATGATGATGCGGTTGCTGTCTGGGTCTGGACGCATGATGGCGTTTTCACAACACATTTTCACTGAGCGGCCCGAGTTGGGGGGGGGGGGGGGAGGGGGGGGGGGGGGGGGGGGGGGGGTAAAATTCCTAACCACCCCCCCCCCCCCCCGTAGATCCGCCACTGTATTGTAATCTATGGCTTTCCTTTAATGATTCATTTATTTCATTTTCACTTCGGGCAGGGTCTCTTTTACTTCGTGAATTCTATTTTGTCACAAACTTAATAACAAAGACGTCATTAAGTCATGGAGTGTATGGCACACGCAAAAATAATGGTACGTCCAGGGGCGGATCTAGGGTGTGTGTGTGTGTGTATTTGGGTTTTTACAGACGTGTATCAATCAGATATGATTATTTACGTCTGGGGACCGACTTAGTGTCTTTAACGTCACCATCCGAAAGACGTGACTCAGTTTCGAACATGCGTCCTCGGCTGAATCAGTTTGTAACTTCCACTGTTACTTGGATTACAGGCGCACGCCACAACGCCTAGCGGATCTAGCTAGGGGGTGGTTTCGGCGGTTTAAATCACCCCTCCCCCCCCCTTGGGCGGCCAAGTGAAAAAAGAGGCGGAACAAAGAAGAAAAATAGGGGGAAAACAGTAAAACGGCGCGATTTTTGGAAAATCCTGGATCCGTCACTGGGTCAACCCCCCTCCCCGTTTGGCAAAAAGCTAGATCCGCCCCTGACGTCAGATCAATCAGTATTATTTTGAAGCGATGCCATAAACAGGTGCTGCATATAAAAAGGGGAATCCCAAAAGAATTTAACTCTAAGCATAATGTATTGTATTTACTTGCAGGGTCTGAACAACAGAATGGCACAGAATGGTACAGTATTATCATGACAAAAACTGTGCTTGAAATCACATCCAATCATGAACAAAACTCATCTACAATAGATTTGAATTCTGTTTTGCATTCCTTCCAAACAATATACTTTTTGTTCCTTTCATGATGGAATCATAGATAACAAAGTACAGTAACCCTTGACTGAGATGCAAAATACGTCATGTAAGCGGGAAGTTATCAAGTCCAGATCTGTAAACTGCTATTATTGGTATTTT